TCATATTTTGTGTTTAAGATACCAGAGTACAAAAAAAATGGGGCAGTAGTTACGGCTGTCGAGTTCGTTGTTGTTCGGAGGACCCGGCAAGTCACTATGAGTGATAGTAAGTATTGAGGAATACTGTCATGGCTTGAAGCAACAACCTAGTTAGCGAGCACAGTTTAGAGCTTTATGTGAAGATGGATTATTCTCGTAAGAGAGCGACGATATATTTTATTTTTCTTCGTTAGAAAATTACTTTTTATGTCCTAGCCACTTTAGTCTCTGCCAGGCTTAGATATTATTAATTGAAATTTGCGAAACAAGTTAGTGCACGAATATGAATGGATGTTTGTTTTTTCTGTGGATTAACTTTGGGACATAGTGCATAGGGATTAACGCCTACTTTGGTAAGAGTTTCACCAAGATGCTGTTGTCTGTTTAGGGTTAGGACTACTACCCTCGTATTACAATTATGCCACAGTGGGAGTCTCGCGAGAGGATGTTGGGAGTTATTGTGAGATTTGTTATGTTCAGGTTTCTTATGGGGTATGCGCTAGATTAATAAATTTTGTAGGAAGGGTTTGGCTTACTTATTGTACTTAAATCCAAGGGGATTGAGTTAATTGTGGGTTACTTAGTGGCTTGAGCTTCCTCATAGTGATTTTACCGTGTGGGTTAGTTTAGTGTGGGGGCATCTTATATTAAATTGCTTCTATAATTGGCAAGCTTTCTCATGTAGAAGTCGAGGAATACTCATCCCCAGTTCGTGCTGGTTCTGGTCCACCTATTCGTATTGCCAAGAGTGACTTGGTTGTAATTACCATGTGGTTCTATTCTCTGATATCTTGCGGAATAGGCATGGAGGCATCGATTATGTTTTGTGATTCCTTCAGTGCATATACATAGCGTGTGGATATGCTTGTTACTTTGGTTAAAACCCAGGACATGGCAGGGCTAAGTTGACAGCTTTATTTTCGGCAAGTGTAACGATAAATACGTCCCTACAAGTAAAAATTATATGATAGTTAGTTAGTTAGTAATACGATATCCACAGGGATTGTATACTCAAGACAACAAAATTTATGTTATCTTGTTTGTCTATTCCCCTACCCAACGCCTAGAAATAGTATGTAATTGTTGATAAGGAAATAAACATTCTACAGAGTAAAGAAAATAAGTAATGTTAAAGGCAAGATCTATTCCATCCGATTAAAAAGAAATTCAAGGAAGTAAGATACTGAACTAGGCGGTTATATGGATTATCAGCTAAATAACTCTTTTATCCTCCGAAAATTTCCTATTTCCCAATATCCAATTAGTTCATTGCCCATACATAGTGTTAATTTAATTTCGAAAGTAGCCGGGAAACAACCCAAAAATCACTAACAAGCTTTCTCCCGATGTATTGTTAGCTACTTTTAACCCGGTCTTAAAAATTTAGGCCATTCTAATCAAGTATGCGCCATCAAACATTGAATTAAATCATTAAGTTTTAATGGGAATTGTTCCTTGCCACTCTCACATTAATCCTTATAGGATCTTCCTAAACTTATTTTGATAAACCCCCCATGAGCTCAACCCCACCCCGAGTATCACGACTTCCGCATCAAGTGTATTAGTTTACTCATGTGATTTTATTTAACCTATTTACTATATTGCATAAGATCCTTCTATACCCCCGCCATCTGCCCTTCTAGTATGATATTGAAAAATTATCATATCCAATAAATTTTCTAGGGAAAATTCTGTCCTAGAAGCATTTAGTTCAATTAATAAATCATAACTTGGATCAAGGAAAAAATTTTATAATCTTCTTAAGTTGCATTTAAATTGTGGAAAATGAAGATTATACGCTAGATTCAAACCCTGTTGCCTATGATAAGAGTTTAGTCACACTCATAGTACTAAATAAAAAAACTCAAACTGATATACTTGATAAACTTATTCCCCATACCATTCGCAATAGATAATGAAAGAACGAGTCAAACCAATGATTAAAGACGTTAGAAATAAGAACTTAGAGACATAATGCTCCCCTTAAGCCGAATGGCGTTCGCTTGAATCTTTGCAACTAACTTCATGTGAATTACTTAACTTGTTAAAACCATAGAAAATAAAACTTATAGGTTGTAATCAGACTAAGTAGAATGAGAGAGATGGGAAGATGAGATAGATGGAGTGTGTAGCTGTGTAGACCTGTAACGTGCACCTGTCCCTCAGCCTTTTGGATCGTCTCCTACTTCGTGTCTTCTCCGTAAATTATAGAACTCTGTTGACGGAGCCTATCCACAATGGTGCTTTATATTCATTCAAAGTCTTACTTTGTGTAGGTATTATAAGCTCCTCTTTTTTGGTTCTCCTCTCCTATCAAATTTACTCGCATAACAACCCATGAAATGCATAGAATAGAAATCTTGGTTGCATGTGAGGAAAAGTTGTCCACAGATGTATGACTCCAATAACAATATTTCTAGCTGTTAAGTTGCCTGTTGCAACCACTTTGTGACTTAAGCTGTGGAGTTCAACTTAGGCTTGGCAACCGGGCGCGTTTGCACGGTCTTGTAGCACGCGCTGAGGGCGTGCACGTGCGTCTCCTGCGTCGATCTATGCTAATAACCGCGACGTGGGGCTCGTTGACTGAATTATTACCAACGGGCGCCAGACTTCATAGTTATCACGAGGGACGTGTCTGAATTAAGACAACGGTCACTGAATAGCACGGGTACATTTTAGCTGATTACTATAAAAACTAGGGCAGTGGACTTGAAGTTAGCACGGTCTGGAGACGTGCATCTTCCTTCTGAAAGTTCATATAGTAATGACAGCTTTACGTGGCCACACTTGTAGCTACTGTAGTGTATGTACTGTAGCTACGGTGTCTTGTTTTTTGTCTACTGAATTTTAGCTCACTGGGCTTTGTGATTCTTTATAATAATTTAGTTACACATAGTACTTAAATAAAACTCAACAATACTTGATAAATATTCCATAATCAATAAGATAATGAAAGAAGTAAACAAGATTAAGAGTTAGAAATAAGAACTAGAGATAAATTGCTTGGATGGCTTCTTTGAATCTTTGCACAACTCTTGGATACTTAACTTTAAAAGAAAATAAAATTATCTAAAAACTATCAAAATGGAAGAAAGAAGAATAGATGTAGAGTGTAGGATATGGGATCCCCTTTGAGTGGCTTCTTTGCTTCCTTATATAGACTACTTGGGGGAAACAAGCCTTGTGCTTTGATGAGTGAAGTCCAACTTTGTGAGGTGGAAAAGTTTGTAAATTAAGCCATGAATTGCTCTCAATTATGGTGTCTCAAATGCTTTTTTTCCTTCAAATTATGACTCACACCCATTGGTGCATAGAAATAGATCTTGGTTTGCATGTGAGGGAAAGTTTGTTCCAAGAATTAGCTCCATAATTTAGTGGTAAGTTTGGTTGGACTTTTGACTAAGTTTTAGGATTCTTGCTTTTGCACGGGCGTGCAACTGTAGCACGGGCTGGGGCGTGCACTAGCCTCTGGAAGTCTTATTGCAATAACAGCACGGGCGTGCCTGATTACCACGGGCACTGTAGCACGTGGGGCGGTCGCTGATAGCTCGGTTCACTTGATAGCACGGGTACTATGCTGTTGCAGGCGGGCGTGTTGAGTAGCACGGTCTGGGTGCCGTGCACTCCTCTGGAAAGTCATATTATCGACAGCACGGGCACTGTAGCACGTCGTGTTACTGTAGCAGCGGGAGTGCTAACTGTAGCACGGGCGTGCTTAATGAATTTGGTACTTATTTTTGTCCTTTTCCTTGCAAACCACATTTTCCTTCAAAATCAGTGAGTTTGTGTTCATAGGAAGGCTTTTAAATAAAACATAATCAATATTACATATAAAACTAATTAAATAAATTAAAAGCATTAGAAATTTTAAATCAAATCAATATTACATAAAAACTAATTAAATAAATTAAAAGCAATAGAAATTTTAATCAAAATCACAATAAAAAATACTATAAAAATAACACTTATCAGTAGTGATGCTTTTGTGGAGGAGAAGTTAGATAGAATTCTGACAAATCATGACTGGCGGCTTCGGTTTCCCCAGGCTACAGGTTCGGTTCTGCAAATTACTTCTTCTGATCATCTTCTAGTTTCTTTTGAAATTCGCTGCTTCATTCCATAGGGGCAGGCTTTACATTTTCATTTTGAAAATAGCTGGTGCAGGGAAGTTGCTTGCCGTGATCTAATTGTACAATGTTGGACTGCTTTTGGACACTTGGGTATTACTGAACGGTTAAAAGCTTGCGCCAGAATACTCTCGAATTGGGGTAGGGAGTTTAAGCAGAAGTTTAAAAACGAATTGGTAGTTTCTTTACACACCATTTCTATGTTACGTGGCTCTCGCCATCAGGCTAATATGGATCGTTTTCAGCAGGCTAGGAATCGTTACCATGAATTGCTTCGTCAACGGGAAGTGTACTGGAAGTAAAGAGCCAAGTCATTTTGGTTGGAGGAGGGTGATAGGAATACTCATTTTTTCCATAACTCGGCTACTGCTCAAAGGAAAAAAAACCAGATTGTGCAGTTAAAAGATATCTATGGTAAATGGCAAAACTGGGGGACTAATCTTGAACAGGTTATGCTCACTTACTTCAATGATTTATTTCGGGCAAAACCTTATAATTCGAAAGTGGTTCTGGATTGTATTCCTTTTTTAGTCACTTTGGAAGATAATAATATGTTATTACAACCATATTCAGCTGAGGAAGTGAAGTGTGCAGTTTTTTCTATGAAACCGGATACGTCACCTGGACTTGATGGGTTTAACCCGGGGTTTTATCAGCAATATTGGGACGTTATTGGCCCTGACATAACGGCAGCTTGTCTTCATTTTTTTACATTCTGGAGAGTTTCCTGCTTCATTAAATGAAACTGCCATAGTGCTTATTCCAAAGAAGTCGGTCCCGGAAGTTATGGGAGATTTGCGTTCGATCGCACTCTGTAACATCGTGTTTAAGGTGATGACAAAGATGCTTGCCAATAGATTGAAGAAACTGTTACCTAAGTTAATCTCTGAAAGTCAGAGTGCATTTGTTCCTTGTAGAAGCATTCAGGATAATTGTATTTTGGCTTTTGAGGTAATGCACAGCTTTCATTGTCGAACTCGGGGAAAGGAGTTTTCGGCTGCTTTAAAAATGTACATCAGCAAAGCATATGATAGGATGGAGTGGTCCTTTGTCAAGGACATCTTGTGCAAGTTTGGCTTTTCTCCTGTGTGGGTTGATTTGATATATCGGTGTTTGTCGACGATCTCCTATTGGATTTTACAGAATGGTAAACAAATTGGGCCTATTGTCCCTACAAGGGGACTCAGGCAAGGGGATCCACTCTCTCCCTATATTTTCATTCTTTGAGCAGAAGGTCTATCTAAATTGATTCAAAAGCATAATTCATTAGGTTCGTTACATGGAAGTCAGATTTCGAGGGGAGGACCAGTAATCTCTCATCTCTTTTTCACCGATGATAGTTTGGTATTTTTTAGAGCTGAGGATTCAGAGGAAAGGACCTTGAAACATATATTATTGGCTTATGAACAAGCTTCAGGCCAAGAGATAAGTCTGCAAAAGTCATCCATCACTTTTAGTGCAAACACTCCGGCTAGTAGGCGAGATTTAATTTGTAACACATTAGGAGTGGAGGAAAAGGACTCTTTAGGGTGTTACTTGGGACTCCCATCTCATGTTGGAAGAAAGAAGAGAGAGGTATTTGGCTATTTGAAGGATAGAATTTGGAGGAAGGTTAGCTCTTGGAAAGATGGAATGCTTTCTAGGGCAGGCAAGGAGATTCTGTTGAAGACGGTTTTGCAAGCTATGCCTTCCTATGTTATGAGCCTATTTTTATTGCCCAAGACATTGTGTTCTGAAATTGAGGGCATCATGAATAAATTTTGGTGGGAATCTGGCGGTGCTAATAGCAAAGGTATTCATTGGTTGGCTTGGGAACATATGGCATACCCAAAAGGATTTGGTGGAATGGGTTTTAAAAGGCTACGTGAGTTCAATGTTTCATTATTGGGGAAACAAGGTTGGAATATTATCTCAAGACCAAATGCCTAGTGACTCGGGTCTTGAAAGCACGGTATTTTCTTACCACTAATTTTTTTTTTGCTTCTTTGCCTTCTAATCCTAGTTTGGGGGCACAAACACCTTCGGTAAATCCCACATCGGCTACGCATAAGGTGGAAGTGATGTACGTAAAGGGTGGCAAGCCTTAGGATGCCAAGACGCATTTTGTCGGCTACGCATAAGGTGGAAGTGATGTACGTAAAGGGTGGCAAGCCTTAGGATGCCAAGACGCATTTTGGGCTATCAGGCGTGGTTTCGCTGGCCCAGGAACAAAACTGTGCGGGCTCGTGAACCTAAAGCGGATAATATCTTGGTAGGCCTGGGCTGTTCCCAGGTTTGGGGCACAAACACCTTAGGCAAATCCCACATCGGTTACGCATAAGGTGGAAGTGATGTACATAAAGGGTGGTAGGCCTTAGGATGCCAAGACGCGTTTTGGGCTATCAAGCGTGGTTTCGCTGGCCCAGGAACAAAACCGTGCGGGCTCGTGGACCCAAAGGGGACAATATCTTGGTAGGCCTGGGCTATTACAATTTGGTTTCAGAGCCAGGCCCCCTCCAGTAGATGTATGGTTCGAGGACGAACCATGAGAAAGCTGGTGGGCCTGTGACATCCCGATCCGACAAAGCGATCCTAAGAGGGCGGGTACCCTAAGAGGGCGGGTGAGCAAAGCCTCCTGGCTAGCTTCTAGGATGGCAAGGCTAGCTAGGATTAGTGGAGATGCGGGACACAGGAATGAATCGAATCATATATCGAAAGGGGGAAACTAATGCATTAAAGGGCGCCTTTTGATGGAATGGCTAGAAGAGTTGGAAGAAACTCCCAGGGTTAAGCGTGCTCGCTTAACGAAAATCCAGGATGGGTGACCTCCTAGGAAAATTTCTCATTCACCTGCGGAACAAAACTGTGCGGGTCTTGCCAATCTTGTATGGGGATTTGGCCTTGATCCAAAGCAGGACAAATTTCCTCTACTGCGGGACAAAACTGTGCGGGTCTTGCCAATCTTGTATGGGGGATTTGGCTTGATCCAAAGCGGACAATTCCTCTAGTGATTAGAGTCGGGGCGTGACATGACTGCAGATTCAATTCGTTTGTGGAAGACATTATGGAGGTGTTCTGTTCCTCTAAAAATTCTGAATTTTGGTTGGTGGCTGATTCGAGAGGTTGTACCCTGTTTACAGTTGCTACGGAAACGGAGGGTCAATGTCGAAATTATGTGCCCAAAGTGCCATGCTAGTGAGGAATCCTTGTTGCATTTATTTGTGCAGTGTTCATTTGCAAGATCAGTTTGGATGCTAACAAGTGTTGGTTGGCAATTTCCTAGAGTTAGTTCTTGGAGAGCTTGGTTGGAAACTGTTTTTCAATGTTCATCATTGAAGGCGGCGGATGAAATACTTATGATCCTATGGGCTTTGTGGTCGGCGAGGAACAAGAGGGTGTGGAACTTCCAATTTGTTAATCCGTCTAGTGTTGTGCAGATGGCGGGACGTGTTTTGAACGAGTGGAGCAACCATCGGGCGAAACCACCGCGACTTGGTGTTGGCAACCCGGCTAATAGAGCTTGGTCACGTCCACCTACAGGATTTTTAAAAATAAATTTGGATGCTTCTGTTTTTTCAGGTGGTACTGTAGCGGGTGTGGGGTTGGTGTGCCAGAACAGTTTTGGTGAGTTTATAGCTGCAAAGACAATGCTTCTGCATGGGCAATTTAATGCATTGCATGCAGAAGCACTCTCAGTTCGAGAGGCTTTAAGTTGGATAAAGGCTAAGGCATGGAGCTCTATCATTGTGGAATCAGATGCTTTAATGGTTGTGAATGCCATTAATTCGTCTACTGTGACCGATGATTCGTCATTTGGTTTAGTTATTTCGGATTGCAAACTTTTAATTAATGAAATTGACAATGTTGAATGTCGTTTTGTGTATAGGTCTGCGAATGTAGTTGCTCATTTGCTGGCAACTGGGTTACATTCCTTGTCAGGCCTTGGAGTCTAGGAGTCTGTTTCCCCTCCTTCTATGGTTGATCAACTTTTAATGGAGTAATGAACTACCCAATATTTATTCAAAAAATGAAAAGAATTTGCGGAATTTTTTTTTTTTTTTTAAAAGTGCATAATAAAGCAATGTAAATTTTATAATCATTTACCCTAACTAAATAATAAAAACAAAATAAAATCAATATGTAAGCAAACACACTTTTAATCAATTTATTATTTAGCTTCTGATGTTATGATTTTGGTTTTTATTCTTCTAAAAACCTGTAGAGATGTGGTTAAGTTTTGGGTCAATAGTTGTGAGATTGGGCTGAAATGAACATGAATTTTATGTAATGGGCTTATCAGATTGTGTAATTGGATCAAATTAATACGTGTTGTTTATTAATTTTGGCCCAATTCAAATATAATAAAATAATTAACTCGAAATTTGCTCTTAATTCAATGTTTATTTTAACCATTGCTCCAAATCAAAATCATTTAAAAATAAATATACGCAAACTATAATTTTAAGAGTTGAATAATATTAGGTTTAATATTTTTCATGGTTTAAGGCTTTGATACCATATTAATTAAATGGATCAAGTTTAATTCTATTCTTAAAAGCTAGTTGTCGATGTCTTATATTTTGAATAATGACATTATCACAAATCAATATGGGATAAAAAAACACAAGAGTTTCACCAATTTGGTACGTATAATGTTCTTTAGGCCATTTTTTATTACATTATAAGGCCTAATACGTTAAAATAATATGATTAGCTACACGATAAGTGTAGCCCTTTTCTTAACATACCAAATTGATAAAGACTTTTGCAATTAAGACTATGTGTTTTCATCAAACCGCTTAAACCGATTCAAACCAATCTAAACCGATCTAAAACTGTGGTTTTAAAATATTGATGGTTTGATTTGATCTTTTAAAAATTAAGCTTTTAGTTTAGTTTATGATTTTAGAGTCAAAACCACTCAAACCAAACCAAATTGATATATATAGGTTTTGTTTGGTGAAATTTTTAATGGTCTAGTTTGATTTTAATTTTTTTTTTCAAACCTGTCACTCTAATTTTAGTTCGATTATTATGTACAATCAGAACCAAATCAATCCATAAACAGTCCTAATCGGGAGAATTTAAACTTGAAACCTCCTACATATCACAAATCCATGAATGACATAGTATGCATAATCTACTCAGGTATTTCTTTTTAAGATGAGGAATGTGTATGTAATGTATTGTGTAATTTTATGAAGAATTAATTTTATAAGTTTACTCTTGATTCTGTATGGGCTGGGCTACAATTACAAATGAATCCAATATTTAGTCAACTAAAAACTTAAAAAAATATCTGAGGAAGTTGAAATGAATTGAGATTTTTCCCTTCTCCTTGTAACTTTGTCAAGTGCCCACCACATCCAAACACAAGTTGACTGCACATGATAATGTTGAGAGACAATTTATGGATATCAAGATTCCCAATACAACTACAATATAAAAGGAAATTGCTGTGTTTTTGTATGATTTATTTTTTTCACTTCACTATATGAAATGTAAAATCCTAGCTTATGGTTGTCCGCCGATAAATATTAGTGTTTGGTAAAATTTTATTAATGCTATTATTAAAATATAAAATTATTATTAAATATATAATTATTTTTTATAGTTTATGATTTATCATGTATATATATATATTTTTATAAAATATAAAAATTATTATTAATAATATAATTATTTTTTATAGTTTTGATTTATCATGTATATATATTATTTTATTTTTATTTTTAAGGTAAATATATTATTTTTATTCTAATTTATAAATTATTAAATATCAAATAAGAAATTATTATTTTCAAATAACTATAAATAAAATTATATAAAAATATTAATTTAAAAATTTATCAGTATTTATTTTTTTGAGGTTAATGAAATTCATACAAAATAATATTCAAATCAATTCACAACTGATAGTATTAACAGTTGAACGTGTTTATAACTTTTATCAGTTATCAGCTACTGATTAAAAGCTTACCAAACACCTACAAACTAACTATTAGATTTTAAATAAGCTAAATTAAAGTATTAAACCTCCTTCTTATTCTTATTTTTTATTATTTTGGTGGAACTTATAATATTTCTTATTCTTATTATTTTGGATTAATTGGGTAAGTCATATACTTATCACAGTATATTAAAATTTATTTCTCAAAGTCAATTTGACAACCTCAAACTCTAAAAACTCCAAAACAATTAGAACTAAACAACCTATTCAAAAATTTTCCCCTATAACATCTAAATGAGTTATTGTAACATCCCTTCCCGGTCCACCCGTAAACCCGGATGAACCGAGCCGAAACGTTACAAACTGGTTGGCAAACTGACCTGACATGCTGAAATCATAATGGATATTGAATATAATATCATGCTGATGTCATGCTGCATGTTATTTACATTAATAATGTAACTGTGATATTTAACAAGACTGAGTTTTGTTTACAAAATAAAATGGGCCCCAACTTGTGCCCTGTCCATGCCATAAAAAAGGGTCCGACCAACAAAAAGATATACAAGAAATGATTAGCTAACCCTGAAGACCTGAGTCTTCTACAGAGATGAACTGCAGCAGTTGTAAGCTGACTCTCTACTGACCAGTCTCAAAACCTGCGAGTTAAATAGGTAACTCGCTGAGCAAAAAGAGCTCAATGGATATCTCATCATAAAAAGAAATAATGAAACACATACATGTATAGAAATAAGCATGTAAACACATATGGCACATATAAGCATACATATCATGATACTATTCTTTTCCCTTGATGGTCTTTCTTTCTGTTTATTATACTGTATGATAAATGCAATGTTCAGTCAAGAGATCTGTATAGGTCCATAAGGTTATAGCGAAACCGAGGTGATAAGAAAAACTGTATGAATACTGTATGCTTGGCTGCTATGGCCTTTATAATCATATCCACTCAACGGCCTTATGGCCTTTATATCATATCCACGTCAACGGCCCTTTTACCGGAGTACCAAAACTGTATGAGGTGCAGATTGCTATCCTAAATGTCGCAGATGGTCTTATCTACCATGGTTTCTAACCGAACCTCATGGAGCATAATGTTGGTATGGCAATAGTATACATAACATCACGTTATATAGTTCATAACTCATGGTTCCATGTTCATAACTTCATAAATCATAATGTTCACTTAATTTCACATCATTGTATGCTTTCATGTTGTTTGATCCATGTTCTAATGTTATATTTTTGTTTTAGAATGGTTGGAGGCATATAAGGTGAGCAAAGGAATCCAATTGCATTGAAAAAGAAGTCCAAAAATGCATGAAAACCAAAGTCGCGAGCGCGAGCTGCAGAAATGCAAGTCGTGAGCGCGCACTTGCAAGTCGCGAGCGCGTAAAGGGCAAAATGAGAGTCGAGCGCGCACTTGCAAGTCGCGAGCGCGTAAAGGGCAAAATGAGAGTCAGTGAGTTATCGAGCACAAGTCGCGAGTGCGCACTTGAAAGTCGCGAGCGCGTAATGTGCAAAATGAGAGGTAGAGAGCTTCCGGCCAAAGTCACGAGCGCGCAAGTGCAAGTCGCGAGCGCGCGACGTGTTTCCAGTCTACGCGGTCGCGCGACGTGCTTCCGGCCTGCGTGAGCTGCACTCTTTTGGTCATATCTCTCAATATACAACTCCGATTTGGGTGATTCAAAAACCTATGTAAAACTAACACAGAGAGGAACAAATAACTCTTCTATGACTCCTCCTAATTCCATCATTTTCATTTACTAGGGTAAAAATTAAGATGAAGTCACTAGTTCTTTTTCCAGAAAACCTGTTTCAACATTCCCCTGTTTTCTTTTCTCACCATTACCAATCCTCCCACTCAACATGAAGCAATATGGTCTCATAGCAACACACCACACAATTCTCATGCAAAGAAAATGGAAAATAACAAGAGATATTAAACCTTTACTCCAAAAGCTTGAGCTCCTCTTTAACTTTTTTTTTCTACACTCTTTGAACTCCCTTCACCTATAAATAAGAATTCTTATGAATTATAAAATAATAACACCAAATGATTCAATTATGAACTTCAAGAAGGTTTACTACTTGGATAGAAGAAAAATTGAAGTTAAGGCTTAACTACCATTAAAATTGAAAGGAAGGTGGAAGAGGAAAGGAAGAAAATGAAGAAGATGAAGATAGAGGAGATGAAGATGAAGAAAAAACGTTGTAAGATGAAGGTGAAGAAAATGCAAGAAAATGAAGAACGCAAGGTCAAATGGAAGGCTCGTATACTTCCCAACCATCTCTTTAATTGTATGGTGCAATTACCAAATAAGACCTACATCCATATGCTTTGATCTTTTTCTCTCAATCAAGTAAGTCCACTTATAATACCATTCTACCCCAACCGGGTTTGGTTTGGCCCGACTCAACTCGACTCTCTGAAATAACTCGACTCAGTGCTAAGACTCGACTCGTAGGATGTCACGATTCTCCCCTCCTAAATAAAAACTTCGTCCCGAAGTTTACCTGTTGTGAACAATTGCGGATACTGTTGTTGCATGGTGTCTTCAAATTCCGAAGTTGCTTCTTCTGTATTATGATTCCTCCAAAGAACTTTTACCAATGCTATTTTCTTGTTCCGTAATTCTTTAATTTCTCTGGCTAAGATCTGAACTGGTTCTTCTTCAGTGTGAGAGGTAAAAATCTAAAGAAATAAATAAAATAATGTATAATGAAATAATTTATTTTGATTTTTTTGGATAGAAAATCTATCTAACCGCACTTAATTATATATAAAAAAAAATAATGTTCTTTTTTATTAAATAGTACAATGAAAGACATGACTTAATAATAGAAGTATAGGACACAATTGTAAAATGAGAATTTTAATTAGGATAAACATTTGAGATTCAGTAGAGGCGATTATGGATATATGCTTCTTCTTTTTTTTACCATTGTCTTTGAAACATTATTGACATAGGTTTTTTCAAA